TCTTAGAACGAACTCGATTTCATCAGTGCTACTACACCACATAGCTCTGAAATATCAGTGTCGTATAATCGATCACTTTTTTTTGTAATGGTCTAAAAAAAAACCAGTCTTGTAAAAAAGGGTTCATAGTCAAACCCACCCTTATAGTAAGTGTCATAAGGGTGAATCACCCTGATATCGAGAGGCCTGGCTACGGGACGGGCAGGCAAGGCGGGCGCGACGGGGCAGACGGGACGGGAGCGACGGGCTAGACGGGACGGGACAGAGGTGACGCAACACGACTGACGGGACGGACGCGACCCAACGGACAGGGGCGACGCGACGGACGGGACAGGGGCGACGCGGCGGGCAGGCGCAATGCGTCGGACGGGAAGGGCAGGGGGGGGGGGGGGGGGGGGGGGGGTGGGTGGGGGAGGACGCGACGTGACGGTGAGAGCGGGCGCGACGCAACCAGCAGGCGCAGCGGGCGCTAGGGAACGGTACGAGCGTGACTAACACTAGGGTACGGGACAGGCTCAGGCGTTACGGACGTGAGCGGGAGGAACGGGATCCCACAGGATCCAAACATAGGTGATACCATGTCAAGACTGAATGTTCTTAGAATCTAGGCATGAAAATGTGATTAGGTCAAGGGGGCGGTACAAGAAGAATGTCGAGAGAAATGTTGTACCCCCTAGTGCTAACCCCCATACAGCCTAGATAACCTAAACATACATATATAATTTGACACACCCCCATAGGCGAAATGGGGGATAGCCAGAGCAAGCAAAAGTCACAAGACCAGTCAAGAGAAGAAACAAAACACAGCTCAGGGTGAATCACAAAGTCACCACACACACTGAGCACAAGCAAGAGGCCACAAGGCCAGTTCACATGCAGAGATGTATATGCAGCAATAGCACGGTGATTACTACCTAGCAAGAGCAAGCATGCAGGTGTATATATATAGATCACAGTACAAGCAGAGTCTACAGCAAGTATGGAAACGTAGGCACAAGGCCCAACAAAGTACAAAAGCGCTGATGATCACCAGACGGAAGTGCCTTGGTGAATATATCAGCAGTGTTGGCCCGAGTGGCCACGTGAGCAAGACGTTGCTGACCCCGCTGCTGCAACTCTCGAGCCAGGAAGTAACGCAGAGCGATGTGCTTCGTTCTGTGCTCCAGTCTGTGCTCCTGACACAAGGCAATGGCTGCCTTGTTGTCGACGTACAGCACTGGAGGAGAACGAGGCCGCTCTCCCAGGTCGGTCAGTAGGTAGGTGAGCCAGCGTAACTCCTGTGCAGCCATGGGTGTCGCGTAGATCTCAGCCTCACAACTGGAGCTGAGAACTGAAGACGAGCGTGTAGAACGACAAGAAACTGAACCAGAGCCAAGGCTGAAGGTGTAACCCTGTGACGACCGCTGCGTAGCCTGGTCGTCAACCCAAGAAGCGTCCGAATGACCAGTGATGACAACGTCGCCCCGTCCTCCAAGCACGAGCCCCATGCCTGATGTACTGCACAAGTAGCGGAGTACCCTCTTATCAGCATCCATGTGCACCTTTCGGTGCCGACCAGGAGCCACGTAGCGAGCCAGAAGGCCAAGAGGGTACGCGAGGTCATGATGAGTGCAGATCATCAGGTACATGAGGCAGCCAACTAGCTCTGGGTACGGGACCACTCGGCTCTACGGACTCGTCCGAAGGTGGAGCTGAGAGCGAGTGGCCTGTAGCCAGAGGGGTGGCCTGTGCTGAGGACTAGGTGAAGCCGAAGCGCTGAAGGACCTGCTGCACCATGTGTGACTGAGTCAGGGTGATGGTGCGGCGTGCTCTGTCCCGGATGATCTGCAAGCCAAGGTAACTGCGCAGCTCACCCAGGTCTGTGCACGTGTGTCTCTTCTGCAGCTCCGACTTCACCAGGGCGAGAGCCTCAGTGTCAGCAGTGGCGAAGACCAAGTCGTCGACGTACACGAGGATGTAGAACGGCAGCAGCGAAGTGTCGGTGCGCAGAAACAGCGACGGATCAGCAGTCGACGGAGTAAACCCAAGAGCCGCAAGTGTCGTCCTCAGTGTGTCGTGCCATTCACGTGGCGCCTGGCGGAGACCGTAGACCGGCCGCCGGAGGCTCCACTAGGTACCAGGAGGGAACGACCCAGTGAAGCCAGGCGGGCGGCGCAGCCAGATCTCCTCGTGCAGGCTGCCCTGTAAGAAAGCTGTGCTGAAGTCAAGAGAGTGAAGCTCGTAGTCACGATGAGCGGCAACGTGCAGCAGCACCCGAAGAGTGGTCATCTTCGAGGTGGGGGAGAAGGTCTAGAAGAAGTCAACTCCCTCTCGCTGACTGAAGCCTTGAGCAACGTAACGAGCCTTGAAGACAGGCGGAGAACCTGGCGGCCGCTTCATCCTGAAAATCCACATGCGGTCGACGATGTTCGCCCCGGGAGGGGGAACCTCATCGACGTACGTGCCTGTGGACTTCCAGGATGCCATCTCTGCGTCCATGGCTGTCTGCCACTGAGAGGAGTACTCACCCGCGATTGCCTCAGCGTATGAGAGCGGGGTCGGGATGTCTGGTGCATCCGGGTCTCCCTCAGGGGCAAGCAGCATGGCCACGAGATGAGGCACAGCGGCCGCAAGACACTCAAGGTCCTCCTGTCTGTCCCCAAGGACGTCCGTGCCAAGAGCACACTCACCCCCGACGGACGGAGGACAGACAGACTCAGACTCAGCAACAAGACTAGCAGCGTAGTCTAGACGACAGGCAGCAGCAAAGTCATCCAGCTCAGCTACAAAGGCAGACACAGCAGCAGACTCAAACGACGGGTCAGTGACAACAGTGGCTAGCAGACGCGTGACAGTAGGGTGCTCAGAACGAAACCGGTCAGAATCAGGGTCCGCAACGACAGGCAGAGAAGACGTAGGAGGAGACGGCAGATAAACACGCTGCGGAGGAGAGGAAGGACGACGGACCACGAGGTGGGTGCCGGGGACAGCCGGCTGACGCGGACGAGGAACACGACGACCAGAACGACCAGAATGGACAGGCAAGACAGGACGCGACACAGGCTCATGACGCTCAGTAAGACCCCCTGTCTGCTTAGTGTAAGGAGAAGGAGGAGGCAGCGGTGAGCCAGGCTGTAACGGAAGACCAGTAGACGAAGGGAGACTAAGAACCTGGCGAAGCACAGAGTCTGTCGGTGGCTGAGACGACGGAGACGGCGGAGCGAAGAACAGGCGCGGCTGTGCAGTGCCACCAGCACCAGCAGCTCCAGCACCTCCAGCAGCTCCAGCACCCGCAGCAGCTCCAGCACCTCCAGCAGCTCCAGAACCCTCAGCGCCAGCTCCTCCAGGTCCAGCTCCACCAGCTGCAGCACCTCCCGAACCAGCACCTCCAGTCCCAGGGTCTCCAGTCTCAGTGCCTCCAGCAGCAGCACCCCCAGACCCAGGGTCTCCAGCAGTAGCACCCTCAGACACAGCACCTCCAGCCCCAGCAGCTCCATTACCTCCAGTACGAGCACCTCTGGGACCAGCGACTCCAGCACCTCCAGTAGACAAAGGACCAGCACCACTCTCAGCTCCAGTGACGTCAGCAGAAGTACCTCCAGCAGCAGAGCCCCGAGCTCTAGAAGCGCGACCCTGACGGCGACCGTACCAGTCGTGCAGCTGCTGGGAGGTGAGAGGCACACACGGACGAAGGCGGCTACTCCAAGGAGAACCCGTAACAGCACTCTCAGAACCCTCAGGCGTCACACCCCCAGACTCAGCACCCCCAGGCTCCTCACACGTAGGCTCAGCACCCCCGGACGAAGCACCCCCAGGCTCAGGACCTCCAAGCTCCTAACGCGCAGGCTCAGCACCTCCAAGCTCCGCATCCCCAGTCTCAGCACCTCCTGGGTCCTCACGCTCAGGCTCCGCACCCCCAGGCTCAGCACCCCCACGCTCTGCACCCCCAAGCTCCGCACCCCCAAACTCCGTACCCCCAGGGACAGCACCACCCCAAGCAGTTCCTGAGTCACCAGTGACCTCAACAGGCGCAGGAACGGGAGGGTCTACCTGAGAGACACCTGAAGGAGCAGGACCTGGCGCGGGGAGGGGGTCTACCTGGGGAGGACCTGAGGCGAGAAAGAGCGGCGGAGGGGGGCGAGGGGCAGTGCGGTAGGGAAAGAGACGGTAGAAGGGAACGGACTCGTCAAAGGTGACGTCCTGAGATGGAAAGACACGGCGCGAGGCGGGGTCGTAAAACTGCCAGCCAGGCGCGTCAGGGACAAAGCCAAAGAAGACGCAGGGAATGGCGCGAGGGGAGAGCTTGTCCGCGGTGGTATCGCGGACAAAGGCACGACCACCCCAGACCCGGAAACGCGACGCATCGCCAACCTTCCCCGTCCACAGCAGTGTGGGCGAGGTTTCCGGCAAGGAGACACGGGGCCAGGGGTTGAGCTGATGCGCGGCGTACCGGACCGCAAATGGCCACAGAAAATGGGGGGCAGCCACATGGATCATGGAGGTACGAGCAACCTCTATGACTAACAGGCCAGAAGGCCGTGAACGTCTGGCGGATGCCGTTCTCCGCACAGAAGGCTGCCAAGAAGTCTAAGGAGAACTCACCACCTCTGTCAGAGTGTAGACGCAGGACAGGAAAGTCCGACTGGAACCGCTCGCGGAGCTGGAGACGAACAGCGCGGATCCAGGGGATCAAAACATCAGGGACCTCCCCCTTGCGCTGCAAGGGGAAGTTTGTGGTGTAACGCGTGTAGTCGTCGACGACCAGCAGGAAGTACCGCTCGTGGCCCTGTCCACGGACGCGGGCTGGGCCCCACACGTCCAGGTGGAGAGTCTGCAGTGGAGCCTCTGTGGGAGGGAACGAGGAGGACATAAATAATATATAGTGCCGTAATTGCATGTGTCCGTGTTTTCAAGTGCAGTGCGGATGCATAATTTTGTAGAGCAACGCCGCTAGCCATGGCGTGTTTTGAAGAGCAACGGCGCAGGAATGCCCAGCAGTGATGCACTGCACATACGGTAGACTACACGATATTGTACTGCAGCAAATTGCAGGCGGCATCCTGTGTGGTGCGCTCGGAAGGGGACGGACAGTGAGAGGGACGGTGGCATCTGAGCAACAGGGGCTGCTGCCTGGTGGGTGGGGAGGGGAAGTGAGGGAGGGAGACGGTGGGTGGGGAGGAGGGGAGATGGTCGAGAAGAGAGAGTGCGCTGGCAGGATGTGAAGGAGAGGATGAAATCGCCTCGCTCGCATCTCCCAACCCCTCTGCCAGCCACCACTCACTGCCGCTTGGAGTGGCCGTCACTTCCCCACAAAGCCCTCCGCGCCCTCCCCTTGTCTCCACCCCTCTCACCTGTTCCTCCCACTCCTCACCCCCATCCGCCTCTGCCACCCCGCTTCCCCTGCCAACAGCGACAGCCTCTCCCACAGCCTCGTACCAACCCTGTCTCTGCTTCTATACCCACTCACCACACGCACCATCCCCCATCCCACGCACCGCCCACCATCCCACGCACTACCCACCATTCCCACGCACCACCCACCATCCCCACGCACCACCCACCATCCCCACGCACCACCCACCATCCCCACGCACCTCTCACCACACCCCTGGACCTCTCACCTCCCCATCAAGCAACTGTGCGAGCATATCCGAGCGGGCGGCACGGAGGAAAGGCGATCCGTGGGATGGGAGATGGCTTCTGCCGCCCTCTGCTGCACCCACGCACATGGGCGATGGGGTGGCACATGGGTGGGAGGGAGAGGAGGAACAAGCAGATGAAATGGGTGGTGGATACGGGGCATGGGCGGCAGAAAGGCAAGAGGACGAGGGCGGGAGATAGAGGAGACGTGGGTGAGAGAGGAAGTACTGTTGATGAGAAGAAAGAGTGGGAGAGAGAGTGAGGAGGGGCGACAGGGAAAGGAAATGGGTTGGAGAGAGAGGGGGGTCGTTGTAAAGCAAGTCGGCAGAGAGGAGGTGGGTGAGAGAAGGGCAACCGCTGTGAGAGGGAGTAAGGAGGAAAATGGATAGAGGCGGGAAGGAGGGGGGAATGGTCGAGCATTATTGGGAAATTGGGTACGGGCATGGTGTGCATACATACACGTGTGCAGTGCGAGATGAGCATGGGACTGTGCATGTGCGCATGCATGTCTGCGCCAACCAAGAATCACCTGCACGTGCGCTGCTGGCATGTGACGTAGCGAGACGCAGCGCCCACTCATGTGGCGGTGGCGTTGCAGCCCCAGTGGAGGCGCGCAGAGAGCCCATGTGAAGGGCACGGAGGGCCGCCATGGGCGAGGACCCCACGTGGCACGATGCCTGGCAGCTCATGCCCGGCAGCTCATGCCTGCAGCTCATGCCTGCCATGCTGGCGCGGAGGGCGATGGGGGGAATTGGGAGAGGGCGGGGCGGGGTCAGACGGGAGTGAAGGGAGACGAGGGGAGAGGGGGGAGATGAGGGGAGAGGGGGACCCGAGGGTTGTGTATGCAACGGCAATGCCCGAGTGAGCGGGTAATGCACGAGGTGGCAGACTGTGCGAGGGAAGGGAAGGAAAGGGGGAGACGAGGAGATGTGGAAGATTTTTTTTTTTTTTTTTTTTTTTTTTTTTTTAGGTGAAATAGCATTATACAACGTACAACGCAAAACACCGTCGGTCGTAACCGGAGCTAGAGGGCATAGGTAGCGTTAGTGTCTACCGTACCCTCCCAGATTCCTATGGAGTCTTAAAAGTCAAGTGCCTAAAACCTTTGTCTTGCCCGTTTGGGGCTTTCTTTGCAGAGTTGCCACATTTCAGATCTGGTAACCTGTGGACACTACTTTGCCGCGTGGTTTTCTTCAGCCTTGATTGAGTCGCCACCACTGAGTGGTTGAGTGAGGTGGTTTCAGCAACCCGTGTTTTGACGTTGAAGCGGTAGAAAGTGGTAACAATAGCAGGTCTGTCCCGGCGAGCTTGCCACAAGAGAATTGCACGAAATCTTCTGGGCGTTTTCCGACGCCTATGAGGACCAGCTTCTACTGCCCTGGCTCTAGAGAGCACAGCAACTTCAGGGAAATCTTGCATCAATCCATGTCGTCCAGCAGTAATAAAATTCCCGTCACCATTATCCTCCAGTTGCAGATGCACTTCCTGTAACTTCCAGCCTTTCTCATGTCGAACTTTATATGTCGTCTTGTCGTCCACAGCCTTAGAAAATAAGTACTCGTCGTTGAACAGGTGAGCCAAGGAAAAATCTTCCAGGTCGAACATTTCCAACGGAAAAACCTCTTCGCCTTCAAACACTTCAGCAGTCGTTGACGTCGTTATTTCGGACGTTTTGAGAGTCGAACGTCGTTGCTCTGGTTCCTTGAAGAAATACTTCTCACGTTCTCCAGAGCATGAAATTTCTTCTCCATGCCATCTTGGGTGATGACTTGAAATAGATCCAGCCATGCCTTTAGCTAGTGAAACCACGTGATTAATGTCTGGCGCTTTATTCCGAGCTTTCTTCCTCTTCACTGGTTGTTGATAGATGGCAGCAAAAGCTGATAATCTGAAAATATTACGTGGTCCAGCTTCCTTGTACTTGCAGATTTTTTCTTCTGGTGAAACTGCCTTGATTCTCAGGTCCCATTTTAGGTGACGATTTGAAATGAACTCGACCATTGAAGCTTCCTTGGAGTAACTCAATGTCTTAAGCTTAAGACCAGCTTTATAACCTGAAAGTACAGATCTTCTCAAGTGACGTTAAGACTAACCGATGTTCGCTGTTTGAACACAATGTTGGTGTCATTAACAAGCCCTTGAAGAGTAGATCCAGAAAATAGATTCAGATTGCTGAACTGGTTCGAGAGATGTGGAAGATGGATGGCGGAGGCGAGTGAAACGACAACGGCGGGAGCGGCGATGAGGGCGCATCACTGGCAGAGGCTTTGCGCGCGATATGGGTACGTGCGGCATACAAGGTATTTCCTCACCTCATCACCTCTGTATGCCCTACTGCTGGTGAATTTAAGCGGCCTGCCTGAGTGTGGGAGCGTTTGACAAAAACACTGTCGAGAGGGATGCGAGAGGTGGGCAGTGCGAGCCGCCACGGCAGGTGTAGCATCCGTACCCAACCCCAGCTGGTCTCGATACGTCGAACCAGCTGAGGGAGAAAAGTGGGGAAATCTGATTGGATTGAGAATGCGAGACTTACGGGCAATTCAGGATTGATTGGGAAATGAACCAATCGAAATTGCTGCTGAGTCAAACTTACGCAATTGGTTTGAGCTGTTCAAACACAACCCACGTAAATTCACCTCATCACTAATTCAACCAATCAGAACACAGCCCCAAGAGTGAGTCGACAACATTTCCGCCGCTCACTTAAAACACAACCAATAAACATCAAACACAGGTTTGTGATTGCTGTGCATTTCCTATCCTTGCTATCTAAAATGTAATTGGTTGAGAACCTTGTTTGTTACCACATGGGCAAGGCCCAAGGGAGTGCACCCCTCCTTGCCATGGGGAAGGTGGCTGCATCCCAAGGGGATCTAGGGAAGGGGTCTGAAGCCTCTTGGCTCATTCTTCATTTCCTACTCCCAACTAATCAATTGGGAAATAGGATTGTCTTCTCCTCAACTCACCCTCCAAGATTTGTTACTGCATTTTCCCAGCAACTCTCAGACTAAGTCACTTTCAGGAGCTGTTACTCTCTGGTTGTACTAGAAGCTATTAATATATGGGTAAATGCCCTTTTTCTTAGTAGATTCGTTACATTGGTAATCAGAGCTATTAGTAGATCCTCACCTGTGGGCATATAAGAGGATTTTGTGGATTTCTTTTTTCTTGGAGAAGTTGTGATTGTATTGTAATTTCTATTATAAGTTCTTGAAGACTACAAGCTCAAGCTCAAGTTTTCAAGACTTTGAAGCTTCTCCAAGAGTTCTAAGCCCTCCCTCCCTCCCTTCTGGTGGAACCATTGGAGCTACTGTGAAGAAGTTGCAACCTGTGTGGATTAACATTCTCTGTTGAAGACAATCACTTTGTGATTGTTCTTGCCTTATCCACTGCGGTGGTACGGATATTTTGCAACAGAGGTGTTTTTCACATTGCTGTGGTTGTAAGATCTATTGAAGAAATTTCTCCTTTGGAGAAAATCTTGGTTATTCATTGCGGTGATAACAATTTGCAGTAGATATGTAACTTTTTTTTATAATACAGTGACTTTGCTCTCAATGGCTTCTACCAACTCCAATGCTGGTGGTGTTGAAGGCAACAACTCTCATGCTGAACTGGAAGCTTGTGTGCAGAAGATTAACCTGAACAACATGGATGAGGAAATGGCTGAAAAGGAACCTGCTGTTGACTCCCCTGCAAGGGACCCTCCAGCTGCTGAAAATTCCAAGGAGCAGGAAGGGGAGTCCCAGGAGGATGACATTGAGTTGGAAGGGGAGGAGGACATTCTGCATGCTGAAATTGCTAAGTTGCAGGATCATGCTGCTGAGCAGGATACGCGCATCCAGCAGCAGCAGTCACTCATTACCAACCTTAAGAGGGAGGTCTCTGACCAGGACGACAAAATCAAGTACCTGGAAGTTGAGCTTAAAAACATGAAGCATGATGCGCGCGAGCACGTTCATCAGCTGGCAAGGCAGACCTCAAAGATCAACGAGCTGCGCGAGGCTTTCAGTGCCCTCCGAAGGGAGACCATGTATCGCCCTGCACCACGAGCGGACCCGCCTGCCAACTCTGCTAGCGGTCGCACCAACCCTTCTCGCTCTGGTGGTGCAGTGGGTGACCCTGGTCCTTCTACGCAGCGCGCTACTGAGCCGAGTACGCAGGCTTTTGGCTCTCTGCCAATCACCCTGCCGCCATTCATCCATGGCAAGACGGACGTGGTTGCGTGATTGTCGATGATGACCGATCTGTTCAAGGCGCACAAGGTCCAAGACGACGCTCACGTCGTCGCTGCCACCACCGTGCTGGACCAGAATGCACAGCGAGTGGTGTATGGCAGCAAGATCCAGGCTGAGGCGGATAGGAAGCCGTTTGGGTGGGAGGAATTCGCATCTGCACTCAAGCAAGCCTTCCAGGTCCAGTCGACCCAGCTGGAGGTGCGCAGCCGCCTTGAGAAGCTGCAGTGCGGGAACCGCACAGTGCAGCAGTACGCTGTGGAGTTCGAGGAGATCTGGGTGCTGCAGAAACCGGCAGAACACATGAGCGAGGGTAAGAAGATCCACTTGTTCTTCAGGGGGCTGCCTGAACATCTCCAGAGTATGCACATGACTGATGGGGCTGGGGAGGCATGGAGGTCCTATGATCACGTGAAGCGCGTGGTGGGGACCACTAATAAGCACTTCCGTGCTTGTGCCAAAACCACTACCCAGCCGCAGCAGGCCTCAAGGCCGTTTTCTAGCACTGCGGGTCCAAGTGGAAGGCAGCAGGGAACGCCTTGGAAGGGCGGGAACCACAAGAGGCCCTTCCAGCAGGGACAACAGGCTGACCACAAGGCCAAGAAGGTCAACGAGGGTGGAGCAAGCAATGTCCAGAGCTGCTTCAAGTGCGGCAAGCCTGGACACAAGGGCTACGAGTGCCGCCACCGCAAGTCGGTGAAGTACTCTGGCAAGGCTAAGACGGACAACAGGCGCAATGACGGCAGTGGTCCCTCGGGCAGCCAGCGGGATTTTGCAAAGCCCAACTAGGGGGTGGGTACCTAGCGGGCATAGTAGATCGAGAGGATGAGGCAGTGGTCCTGCGGGATGAGGAGTTATTGAAAATCGAGTGCCTTGTTGATTGCAAAATTGCATGTGTGTATGCATTTTCTTTTAATGAAAGCTCTTTGTTTGCCTGTCGATTTCACCCACTGGAAAATATCACAGTTGAATCATTACGTGATAAATTCTCACTTATATTTTGTGATCACCATAATTTGCCTTGGATAATGGAGGTGGTGGGTCGTTGCACCCAATCGCACCCTCTAACTGCGGTTGGAATGGTAACGCACACATTTCGAGGTAAATTGTTTCGAGCACTTCAAGGATGGAGCGTGTTAGCGCAGTGGGATAAGGGACACCATGTGTGGTGGACACAAGCTCGCTCTTTTGGACGCAGCAAGCATGGCATTATGGCATACTATTTGCCTCCCACTGATATTACAGCATGTCCTATTCGACCCAAACATCAGCAAAACCTTTTGTTTTCGGGTCGCGTAAATGGGCGCAGTGCCTCGATCCTGGTTGATACAGGACCAACTGCGTCATTGATCGATGAGAAGTGGATGGGATATTTGAATGTTCCTGTTCAAGGACCATCTTGTTCTATCCGCCTAGGGGATGACAGGATCATTCCATGCAGAGGACATGCGTTGGTCAACCTGGATATCCAAAGATATCAGGAGACCATCAGCGTTTTTGTCTTACCCCTCCTAGTATGCGTATACATTGTTTTGGGAATGGATTGGCTGCGGCCTAATGAGGTGATATTAAATTTCCAAGATAACACGCTTTCCTTCACAAAGAATGGGACGACGTTTCAATGGCAAGTCCCAAAGCGCCAAGCACTGGACGACAAACCTCAAACATTAGCTCTTGACGTACGCTTTGCGTCGGCTCTCCAATTCAAAGAGCATGTCAAGGGAGCTGATACACTTTTTGTTGTACAGCTAGACTCCGAACCAACTACTTCACAGATTATTGAGGATTTCCCACCTCAAA